GATCATCGCATCGGCAAAGTCCCAAGATTTAAAAGTTTTTAAAGTAAATCTTTTGTCCTTCAAAATATAATCCATATTCGAACTTTAAACAATTTAGAGATAATAAAAATATACAAGGTTTTTATATACTAGTTTGTTTTGTTTTATAAAGAAAAATACATATTCATTAGTAAAAAATGGAGACTGTCATTAAACTAAAATCTGCCTTATTATTTATTCAATGGAACCTGTAATGTGCGCGTGCATAATAAAATCTCCGTTATATAAATATATTCAACGTAATATTAGTGTCATCAGCGGATGTTGTAGTCTACTCATGATTTCTTTACCTTATAATATAACTTGATTTATGAAAAAAAAAACTTATTGAATCGCACGCAGAAGAAATTTAACAAATTGTCTTCATTCAAATATTGCGAGTACCAGGTAATTTTTTTTTTCTGTGCCGACCCCCTCCCCCCGCATAACTTAAATGTAAAGGTATCTATATACCTTTAACTAATAAGAAAAGCAAAGACATTTTTTTTAATATCTCGAAAAAATGTCTTGATATTTTTGTTATCATGATAACAAAAATATTAGGACATTTTTTAAGATATTCAAAAAAATGTTACAAATTTTTTTGCAATGTTTTTTATTATAAATTCAGTAAAAAATTCTTAAAAAATCTATATTACAAAAAACATTTATATTCTAAATTAATAAATATGGAATATAGATTTTTTAAAAAGTTTTTACTGAAAACTTTAAAAAATTAATACTTTTTATTAAAAATATTGCAAAAAATTTGTAGTTAAGGATTGACAAACAATTTTTCATGTTGCTAAATATTTGGATAAAAAGTTTAGCGTCAAATTAATGGCTATAAAAAGGAAAGATATATCGCAATGAAAAGTTACAACAATTATTTTTAAAGTAAATTCTTTTTTTTAATAAATATCTTTACATATCGTTATTTAAAAGTTAATGTGGTTTTTTTAAAAAATTAATTACTTCTTTTATGTTATCGCTAATTTAAAAGTTAAAAAATAATAAAAAGTAGCTTAACCAAAACAGCTCTAGGCGTACGCAAAAATCGCTTAAGGCGTACGTAAATCGCTCTAGACGTAACGCTTTAAAACAAGGCCTGTATATATATATGTCAGGCCTTATTATGAATAAAAACTACGCAACACATAAGCACGACGTGATTTTTGACATCATTAAATTCTTTTTATTTGCTTTTCATATTTATCGACATTTACTGCACCAATTTACTTAAGTAGGCAAAACTACTTTAAATCATTAATGTAGAAATGTTATTATTTAAAAATGTTTTGGAATGTTTAGTTTTTTAAAATGTAAAATCATTTAAAAAAACGAAATATTCATGACGCGTTTTGTCTATACTAAACGAATAAAAAACATTTTAAAAAAGTTATAAAATATGCTAATATTTGATTTTTTTTTTCTCAAATATGTAATTTTTCAAATAATTATTTTTTCTTTTTAAAAAATCAGCGAGTAATAAACTGGAAATTTTAATATTGTACAATATTAAAATTTATAATAGTCAATATAATGGCCAATAGCTAATATTTTTAGCAGGGATTTTATATAATATTTTTTTATTTATTTATTTTATTTTTTTTCATAAAGCGGTTTCAAACAATCACTTGTATTACTAAAAGACTTTAACGAACGTTTTGAATAGATTTTTAAAGTTTACAAGGAATTTTATTTCTAGTAAAATAAAATAAAATGTTAGAATTGAGCACGATTCGTTGAGTTTCGGTAACTTTTAACAAAAAAGCGATTGTTATTATTTAAGCTATTTTTTTTGAGTTACTTTTTACGAGGGATATATCGAAGCTGAAATTTTGCCAAAGTTGAAGCTTCGGCCAAAGCCACTTTGCCGAAGCCAAAGCTTCGGCACTATACATGCTTAAAATTTAATCAGCATTTAGATCAGCAGGGGTGTAAAACAAAAAAGGTACCAAAACTAAGGTCCTTGACTAATAATATAGAAAAATCGTATAAAAATGAGGACGCCAGTCAGGGTTGCTCTCCCAGGCAGGGCAAAAGCTCTCAGCGCCCCTGTTTGAAAGTTTCTCATTATCTCGTTTCTATTAATTGACCGCACCGAGCGTTTTTTTTTTTAAACTTAAGCTTTTTTGAAACATTCACCCCAAATTTTCCTACTTCTAGTTCTACTTTTTCTGTGTGCAAACCATATTCATGTTATATAACATCTTTTCATGTGCTGTATATTTTATTTTTATTTTTAATGCACCTTTTGTTAATAGAAGTGGATAAAAATCTCTGAACATTACTAGAGTATATTTATCTTTTGCACTTGATCACTCTTTCTTTAAATAAGCACTCTTAGCTGATCTAGTTGTATCTACAACATAAAAAATCTTACAAACACACTTTATTTTTTTATTGCTATTTATTTCAATATCTTTTTTTTAATTCTCTGTATTTATTAAACAACAATTTCTAAACTAAAAAAAAACCA